CTAATAATCGGTGCATTCCTGAGGGTGTACTGAGGTGTCACCAGCTAAAAGAAGGTGACGTAAAACCAGGCATTTAGCGAGAGAATTAGCTAGACAGCTAGCTGATAAGAGGAAGCTAGAGGGGTGTCGTATGGACACCTTGACACCCCTCTAGCTAAATGCCTGGATTAGGCTTTATTGAGAAAACAGCTTGAGAACTTGAAACACAGCCTTCCTTTCTTGTTTTAAACACGGCTGAGCAAAGGAAACATTTTTTGTTCTGCTACCCCCTTTTTGAAATAAAAAAAAAAGTGTTCTGTTCAGCGTTGATTGCTGGTTTGGGAGGCTCCAGCCTGTATTTATACCACTCATTCTGTGCCCTCTGCTCTCTGCTGATGGGAGCTGGTTGCCCAGCTTTGGGCAACATGTCAGAAGCTCTGCCGTCCTCTCCGGGGCTTTGAAGGCAGCTCACTCCATTACTCGGGGTTATTAGTGTGCAGATCACTGTGGAATTGAGCCAAGATGTGAAGGCATTTGCTGGCTAATTAGCATAGTTTTTAGTGCCCTCTTTTTGGTTTTCTTGTCTCTTTTTTTTTGGACTGGAAACCAAGATTAAAATCAAACCAGCACTTTGCCTCCTGCATACATTACTGTTTGAGTGCACTCTTCCACCTTTCATTTCATCAAACAAGTGCATACAAATAAAAACATTTTTTCAGAAGCCTGCTGTTTGTGTAGACTGGACATGCACAGATTTTAGTTCTGTGGGCCGAAACCTATTTCTAGTTCTTGAAAGCGTTGACCTTAACAGTTTTTGCTTGTATATATTTATCTTGAAGAGTTGCAGCAGCATTGTCACTGTGGTTCAGTTTGTTGTTGGTAGTTTATATTCTGTCCACTTTTAAGCCTTGCTGTAACATTATAGTAAGATTTAGGCATCAGATCAAATACAGAAAAACTGGCACTATTTGAATATTCACAGCTGAAGGAAACAAAGTGTAAATGGGGGGAAAAAACAAGTACACAGTCTGAAACTCAGCTGAGGGGTTGTGCATTGCCAGGTCTCACAGGATGTTTGCTGTTTCCTGTGTCTGAACTTAGTATTCAGCCCTCCAGGCTTGCCCAGAGAGCCAGTACCCTTAGATGTCCATCATCACTGACCTTTGACCTCCTTCACTGTGCTTTAACAAAACCAAAATAAAAGGCAACAAATTCCGCTCTGCTGTCATGTGGGTCACAGATGTCTCCATTATTGTCAAAGCTCAGACCCACTGTTCTTACTACTTGCTGTATTTATTCATGTATAATACTAGAAATTTTACCCTAAAAATCATCCATAAAGTAGGGGGGTAGTATTATACACGGGTTATTGGTGATTAGATTTTTTTAATGCTTTTTAAGCTCAAAAATGATTGTATTATACATTAATAAATACAGTAATTAAGGTTAGTTAAAGCTTGATAAACATCCATGAGTTTTTCTTTAGATTGAAAATATTTCATTTAGCAAAGCTGTCAGTGAAACAGAATTTTCCGTTTCAAAGTTTTTCTTCTTTTTGATTCCCCAACAGGAGAGGTGAAGATGGTGGACCGGCTTGCTAACAGCGAGGCCAACTCCAAGCGGATCGCATTGGTGGAGAGCTGCTTCGGTGCCGCGGGCCAGCCTCTAGCCATCCCGGGCCGCGTGCTGATCGGAGAGGGCGTCCTCACCAAGCTCTGCCGAAAAAAGCCGAAAGCGCGTCAGTTCTTCCTCTTCAACGACATCCTGGTTTACGGCAACATCGTCATCCAGAAGAAGAAGTACAACAAGCAGCACATCATCCCGCTGGAGAGCGTCACCATCGACACGGTGCCGGACGAGGGCGAGCTGCGCAACGGCTGGCTGATCAAGACGCCCACCAAGTCGTTCGCCGTCTACGCTGCCACTTCCACGGAAAAATCCGAATGGATGAACCACATCAGCAAGTGCGTGCGGGAGTTGCTGCAGAAGAGCGGCAAGGCCCCGACGGGCGAGCACGCCGCCGTCTGGGTGCCCGACTCCGAGGCGACCGTGTGCATGCGCTGCCACAAAGTGAAGTTCACCCCGGTCAGCCGCCGCCACCACTGCAGGAAGTGTGGCTTCGTGGTCTGCGGTCCGTGCTCGGAGAAGAAATTCCTCCTGCCCAGCCAGTCGTCCAAACCCGTCCGTGTGTGCGAGCACTGCTACTCGCTGCTGATGTCCGCGGGCCTCGGGCCGCGCTCAGATTCCATCACGCTGCCGGGCTCAAACTTCAACAACAACACCCTGTCGGACGACGAGGACGAAGACGACAGCAGTGACTGAGAAACGCCCTCGTTTCTCCAGGACCTGTCCCCGTCCCCGCACCGAGGAGAAAACACTCTTCCCTCGTACCATTACGTCATTACTTTGCTTCTTTTCTCTCGCTGATTGAATCATGATCCACTGTGAGAAGAATTTAATCTGAGGATTAATGCAGTATTTCACTTTGGAGTTTAAGTCTTTCGATGAACCTAATTAATGTTTTCTTCCACTGTTTCTAATATAGACACTTTCCTGAGAACAGTAACTCATCAGTATAATGTGGAGTTAGGTGGATGACCAGCAGAACTCTGGGTTAGGTCTGTTTCTCACAGACTGCTCAGTTCTACTCTCATACCTCTTCATTAGGCTGCAAATATTCACTACAAAAAAACAAACAAAGGTGCTAATGAGACTTTTAACCTGCACTGTCCTCCTTTGTTTTGTTTTTTTCTTAATGGTTTCTTTCTTTTTTTGTAGTAAATAAGGCGATAATTTAAGTTTATATTTTTCCATCTATTACCTGTACATATGTTACACCAAGCAGGGTTCTATTATAACAGATTGTCATTTTTCCCCCTATTTTTGTACACTTGTCCTTAAAAGAAAACAAAAATCCTTTTATATTAGTGACAAAATGTAGATATTACGCTAAACCTATAGATTTTCTGAACCTAATGCAGTTGCTTATGACAAATCAGCTGAAGCTCATCTAAGTGAGCCTTTATTTTCTTTTAACACATTTTTTTCTATTGTCAGCAGTTATTCCAAAAAACTAACTCTATTCTCAGCCTATACTGTCATGTAGTGCCTTCTAGACAACTGAACTATGCTTTTAGGAAGGAAGAGGTTGTTTGTAACCTAACCAGGCTGCAAAAAAAAAAAAAAAACATGGACTTCATAGGTTGACTCAGAAACACAGAAGGCAGGTTCCTGACCAGCAGGCACAATAAAAAGGTTAAGTTTGGCCTCGGAGATGCTTGAAACACTCAGGAAATCTTAAAAGGCAGATTTGACCGTGAGGGTTTATTTTGCCTCGTCCAAACCAGTGCAAGAATAGAAAGCAGCGCTGGTCCCAGAGCAGCTGACATACTGCCTCATGAACCAGTTCAGCTTAGTTCATGAGATGGAATAGAAACACAAATGCAACTTTAAACATGCAAAGAAGCCATATAAATGTCTCATATCAACACAGCATTTACCCCGCCCCACTAAATAACTAAATAAATAACAGGAAAAACGTACTAATAGAGAAGACAATAACTGAGAAATATTGTTCATTTTATAACCCCTGAGGTGTACAGCTGCCTCGCTGTGCTCGTTTGATTATACGTCCAGTGTTGCATGGATTTGTTGTTAACGAACTTTTCAGTTAAACCCACTTAAGAATTTCTGGATTTACTCAAAAACTAATTATGAAGTGGATGCTTGTTGTTTTGATTTGTTTAAAGTTTTTTTTTCTAATTTAAACAGAAACAGTGATGGGCCATAGATAAAATAAGGTCTTTAAAATTTTTTAAAAAAAGTAGAGGTTCCCTTGTGAATAATTGAAATGCAATAATCAGAAAGTGTTGGAGCCTGTTTTGTTTTTGTTTATGCTCACGTATTTCTGTGTTAAACTGTGTGTTTGTAACTCCATGTTCAGCTGAGGTGGTTTTTCTGGAATGAGAGTCAGGAAATTCACGCGGCGTCTTCCTGCCGGTTACTCCTCCCTCCGCTTGCTCTGAGGTCAGATGGCCACAAGCTGAGTCATAAAACAAACACGCCTCCCTCTGAGAGTGAGCGATGCCATCCTTCCTTCCTTTCTCTTGCACCACCATGACTTAAAAAAACCGTCTCTGGGATCACATGACGCCGAGCGTGACGCGAGTCATGTGATCCGTCACCGAAGCAGAAACTGAAAAGGCCTGTGGCTGGACTGGAACCAAGCCACCTGTCACCACCAGCAGCAAGTTATGTTCTGTCTGTGTCTGTTTTAGTGATTTCTCTGAAGAGTTTCATTTCTTTAACCAGCAGCCCCTCCTATTAGAGGTTTTTCCAGTTTTACTTGTTTCCTAATAACTCAATTTTCACAGCTCTTGTTTTAAAGGGAACAACTTTATTGTTAAGTAAATGCAAACATAGATGTCAAACACAAGAAACTTTATCTTTAAATCTCAAATGAAGCAGATCCTTTCATGTGAAGTTTCTGTTTGGACTGAAGAGAAATTTCAGCATTACTTACACAACCTCAACCATGAAACTTTTATCAGCGGGAATGTTTTTTTAAAGCTGGAAAAACATTAAAAATGTAGTTTTTTTTTTTTAAAGAATCAAAAGGTGACACTCTCAGCTTGATCTGGACAAACAATCAGGGTTTGATGCAGCACAACGTTTTGATGATGCAAGCTCAGATGAATAATAGATCTAAATGTTCTTTTTCTGAAAAGTGAACCCGACAGTTAACCTTGTATTCCGCGCTTTTGTCATATTTGCTTTAATTTAAGCAGAGCTGCCGTGTACTGGAATGAAACTCCTCAACAGTCGCACAAAAGTAATTGGATTTCTCTGAACACATTTCAGAGACACAATGTTTCTGAGGGAAAAAACGAGTTTTGTTGCCTGTACAAGTAAATTTCACAAGCATCTTCGGATGATAATTTAACTTTTATTTTATTTTTTGTAAATAACAAATCTGTTTTTTCTCTATTTTTACAGTGTTGGCATTTAGTAGTGCCTCATTTGAACTGCAGCTTTCAAAAAGCACTATAGAATGGAAGAAAGGGATTTTCTTGTTCAGACTTTAGATTTTTTTAATGTATTGTTCATGTTGCTACAGTAAGGGCAGTGTCTGTGAGTAGAGGAATTATCAGTTATTGATCATTAACTAGCTGACCTTTATAGTTACTGTGGCTGAGGTCCAGAAGCACAAAGTGGGGCCTCTGGTTTCCTGTGGATTGCACCTCAAAGTGAACATGTGGACTGCTACCACATACTGTCAGCGCCACAGTGACTCTGTGTTGTTTTAATCCTGATGATTTTCGTACGTGTGCAGATTTTTTTTTTTTTTTTCACTTCTGCATTGATAACTCTGAGGTCTTCCTGTGCGCCTCTTCTCCTTCCTCCTCTCTGGAAAATCTCAAGGGCTTTTCTTAACACGCTCTCAGCAAAAACAAATCAGACAGGAAAGTGACTTTATAAACCAGGCACGGCGTCAAGAGACGGCGCTGAATTTATCAGGCGAGATTAAATCACAGCCAACAGCATCTGCGCTTCAACAGACTCTGTCCTGCAGGGAGGTCGGAGGTCAGCAGCTGACTGGAAGTCGAGGCAAAGGTGCGTCGAGTTTCTGTGTTTTTATCCATGTTAAGGTATCTGATCAGTCGGCCTCTCCTCAAGGGGATCATTTGAATACAATGCTTGGTTTTACATAAAGGTGTGGAAACAAACGGATGTTTTCATCTGTGGAAAAAAATCAGTGAAATGTGATACGAGAAAATTTGGCTCAGCAGCAACGCTCAATCAGACTTCTTCATATGATCTGCACCTGAGTGATTAAAAACAAGTCTCTTTAACTCACCCTACATCCTCCCAATATTACCTCAGATTACTTATTATTTTCTCCTTGCTCAAAAATGAACACCCTGAATGTTTTTCTTTTTTTTTAACCGCACACGGCTTTGTTTACAATAATGATGCTCACAAATCTTATGTGTAATTTGATTTTCTTTAGAGGGTTTATTTTAAATAGCTTGGTGGTGAAAGAAGTGCAGAAAGGTATTAATAAACACTTCTCTTCAGCTCAGATTCTGTGTATTTATTTTTTATTGGCGTTTATTCCCTTTGAGCTGCATTAATAAGTATACATGGGTGAAGCAATATTGAAGACTGTAAATAATCTACCGTTAACTCCGGGGTTTATTCCAGGAAATCTGAATATGAATATTTCAGGGGCTTTGAAATGTAATCATTTAGGTTTAGTTTCAGTTCTGTTTCATCAAGGGAACACGACAGCCGATCTGAGTTCGTATAGATAACAGTTCAGTGTTAAGTGGGTCTGAAATTTGTGATCACGTGGTCTGTACTGTTGCTCAATTCGACCATAAAAGAATATTTATTCATCTTAATGTTGGGTCCTAAATATGTCCAAATACGTCTTAATGCATTGTGTTACAACTTAAATTTGTGTGTGTGCTGAGTTGTGCTTCTGTCCAAAGATTTCAGATGGTATCTTGCTGTAACAAAACTCAAAACTAAATCTGCTGGACAGATATATTTACAGTCAGACAGCCTTATTTGTGATAATAATCCAGGTGATCTGTTCCTAAAACAGACTTATCATAGTTATTAGAATGATTTGAATTGAAATTTTAACCAAAGGCAAGAAAATGTGTATTTTGAAAGCAATTCTTCAGTGGCGTGTGACTAAAATTTGTAAAAACCCTGTGAAAAAGTAAACATTGTAGCTTCATTGTTTAGTAAAAATATGTTTATACAACAAAATATATGTGTACCCCAGAAACTGCAATTCCATCTAATGCAGAGGTTCTCAAGCTAGGGTCCCTGGAACCCCAGGGGTCCGTGAGAGGTATCTTGGGGGTCCTCAAAAAATTTTTACTATAATGTTAATTTGATTTTTATTTTCATTTTAGTAAATATTTTTGAGGACCCCATAGATACCACTCGCGGACCCCTGGCAGTTTGAGAACCTCTGCCATAGACATTGTTCTTGGCTACCAATGCACCAAATTTCCACTCCGTTTTTCTAAAAATGGCTGAGTTGTAGCCATTTGAAATTAGCTTTGGCAGCCATCTTGGATTTTTTTATTTGAAATCAAATTTTGTAAACAGTTATTTCTTGGCTATTACTATGCTTATTTTCAGCTGTGCGTGTTTAAAAATGGCTAAATTATAGCCCTCTGTATAATTAGCATTTGTTATCTTGGGACTAACAATCAGCATGTTTTTTGGATCATTCTTAGCTAGAATCACACAAAAGTTTTTAATATTTCTTAAAACAAGATAAATTACAGCCATCTTGAATTTTGAAACCCGGCATAGTTTTATGTATATGTGCCTCCCTAATAACCACATTGGCCACCCCTGTGCCACCCCATGTAGAAATGTTTAGCTCCGCGCCTGGATGAGAACATTTGGCTTCAATGTATTGTTGATGCACATAGAAACTTCATTTGACAAAAAAAAGTAAGTCCTCTTATTTTAATCAAAACTGTTGGATTTCAGCCCTAACAAGAGACGGAAACATAAAATCTTTTGTAGGAGCTGAAAACAGAACATATTGAGTCTAGAGCTGCCACAAACGATTATTTTTATAATCGATTAATCACTGATTATTTTTTTCGATTAGTCGACTAATCAGATCATACGTTAACTGAATATAAAACATACAGCTTATCGTGCCAGAATGCAGCTGTTTTTACATAACCATGGTTAGATTTTAGCTATATGCTAACTAAAAATAATTGCTGTGGAAGGCAAGTTCTGCTCTGCAGATATTGCACAGGTTTCTCTTACATTTTCTTGAAATGATCCCACACTTTGAGCTCCGTTGCCAGGTAGCCATGATACCAGAGCCTGTCTGTATAATGTCTTGTGACGTCCACGGCCTACCCCAGTTACCACTGCTGTGCATGTGTGTCAAGGACAGAAAGGCAGATGTGGCAGTGGAAGGTGTCAAAGCAGTTTGGAGAGAAAAACAAAGTAAAGAACAAAAAAAACCCAAAAAACGATTAATCGATTATTAAATTAGTCATCGATTATTTTAATAATCGATTAGTTGTCGATTAATCGACTAATCGTGGCAGCCCTAATTAAGTCGCTGCTCAATAAATGATGTTTGATTGACTGAAGCAGAACAACCTGTGGAGTTCGTGTGGCTCAGAGTAGGGGTGCAACAATACATGTACCCGTATTTAACAGTGCTGTATCGAACATTACAGATTTTTAAATTTTATTTTATCAACTTGTCTCCTGAAGATGCTCTGTGTTGAAGGATCAGTGGATCTGTGTTCGACTACTCCACCTAGGCTGCATTTTTTAGCGCAGGTCCACTGAGAAACTTGCTGTTTCAGCAACATTTAATTTAAAAACTGTACTTTTGAGGTTAAATAAATGTTCATAATTAATATAAATAAATTACAAGTTAAAAGAGGCATGGGAATTTCTCTTTTTTGTATCGAAAAAATATCGAACCGTGAGACTAAAGTATCGAACCGAACTGTGAATTTCCTGTATCGTTGCACCCCACCACCATCAGAACCAGGGCTGATGTCATCATTGCCATGACTCAAAGCAACCAGAACTTGAAGAATATTTGATCCGCAGGTTGGTCTTCAGTTTGTTTCATTTTTCTTACAGGAACTTTTGACTCGTGTCTTTATGAATTTTAAAGATTTATCCTCTTGGTGACAGTTTTTTTTGTTTGTTTGCTTCCCTTTTGTAATTATTTGACAGAAAAGATCCAAGTCATTTTGAAAATCTTAAAGGGGCTTCAACCAGAATAGACCCTGCATAATTTTCAGTTGATAAAATAAAAATCTCATCATTTCTGGTTCTAATTCCTATGTAATGTGTGTATATAGGGCGCTGTCATTGACCTCACTGAAGAACAAGCGTCTCTGTGACAGTGGACAAACACAAAGAGATGGTGACAACAGAGAGGAATTAGCTAAAACGTATAATGTTTGAACTATTCACAGAATACATTGTATATGTTTTTGGATTATATCAAGTAAAAAAATTTTAAATTTTTCTAAATCCGTAGCATGCCAATGTGAGCTTCAGCAGTGGATCCACAGACCGACAGTAAAAGTTGTTTTCATGTCTTTGTCTCAGATTTCCACAGGTTAGAAATTTTGGATTGAACAGAACCGTTGCTTGAGCAATGTGTTGTTTGCACATTATTTATCCATCAGCATGTCGAACAAGACGTTAGCTGACGTCAGTTGAAATTGTAAAATTGTTGCAAGTTCTGCTGAGTAAAAACTAAAGCCTAATGGAGCGTGTTAAAGCTAAAGTCATCTTGGGGCACCATGGAGAGAAAGTAAACGGGCTCCAACGAACGAACGAGGGACGGTAATGTTAAGGAGAACAGAATAAACTGGGATCTGAGCAGAACGCTGACATCATTTTGTGATTGCTCATCTAAACTCATCAGTTATGTCACATCAGCTCCTGTTCTGGCAGTTTGTGTTCTGAGGCGGCCACTCTTTAGTGGACCACATTTTGGTGAATTTACCAAGAAAAATAGATGACCCCCCCCAGAGTTTAAGCCCTCAGATTTGCCTGTCCGCCGCATCAATCGGAGTGGCAGGTAATAGAAACAAGTGGTTGCCATTAGTGAGCTGATAATGGAGGAAAATTGCTGTAATCATGTTGGTTTTTCAGAAAGCTAGTAATCCTACGGGATGATAAAACTCCAGGTCACTTACAGGTGATGTACTCTAATTAGGCACAGTTGCTATAAAAATATAAAAATGATAAAGCTTTAACTCTTTGAAGCACATGGCTTCTGCAGCACAAAAATCAGGTGAAATCAGTCTTTTGTTTGGACAGAAGTTAAATTCACAGTCTCCAACAAGATGAGTCAAAGGATTTTAATTATAGGTTCAGGAGTTCAAGAATTAAAAAAAAGGCTTTTTCAGCTTTTTGTAACCAGTTTTATCATGATAATTTTGGATATTTTTAGCATCTTTTGACTGTAGTTACTCTGCATTACCCTGCCTTTCTTTACTGCAAACCATGGTAGAGTATCTACAATTCTTTAAAAAAATAAAAACTTCTATAATTTTTGTTTGTTTTTCTTTGCTTTAATAATTCCTAACACAAATGTAAATGGTTGTTTCTATGCAGGAAGTACCAGGTAGAGCTCAGTTATTGTTTGTTAGCAGTGCTCAGCTGTAATGAGACGAGGAACAGAACGTTTTGTGTTTAGTTGAAGTTAAACACGAAACATCAAAGTTAATTACAACCATAACACTCATGTGGCCCTCGGTAAAAATGAGTTCGACATCCCTGACTTAGGTAAAGGAAAAAAAATAAATAAAAGCAAGTAACAAAATGTAAAACAACTTATTTGTTTCCTGCATACTGTAGATAAATTAATAGTTAGAACATAAATAGTACAGGCTGAGAATAGGGGAACAAACTATTGTTTTTCTTTAAATGGATCGTTGCACTGTTTTACTGAACCAAACACAAAAAGAATAAAAACAAATAATACAGGGTAAACCAGTGGTTCCCAAACTTTTTATCTTCTGACCCACAAAATATCCATGGCAAAAACTTGTGCCCAAATATTACTGTTCTGAGTACATGAACTTTGTTAATAACCCTAAAAACACAGGCTTTTTGACAATCTAAACAGCTTATACACAAATATAAATACTTATTTATACTTATTTTGTGTTTTTGTAATAGTTATAGGGAAAATATTACATCAGCAATTATTTTATTACCCTTTAAATTGATTTCTGGAGATTATTCAAGGTGCTTCATGACCCATAATTGGGTCCCAAGCCCAACTTTGGGAACTAAAGTGCACTGGTTCCAAAACTTTTCAGCTTTTGACCCACAAAATAACAGTAGCAGAGACCTGTGCCCACAACTATTTTTAGGTGATAAACATTTGTATCAGGTCAACTAAACATGGGCATAGTAACAATATTTTTAAACTACATTTATCCATTTTAAATACACTAATCTCACTCATTTGTAACAACTAGGGCAAAAATGTAATTAATTCATAAAATCTTTTCAGGACCCCACCTTGACATTTCGGGACCC